ATGGGCTTGAAGTATCACAGTATCACCACATCCACTCATAGTCCAGAATTTTCTAACATCTTTGTGCCCTGCTCAGAGGCAAAATATCCTCCCCTCTGCTACGGAGGGACTAATCCATCATTTTGGCCATGTAGTGTGCGCACCAGACAGCTGGGGGCACCAGGCAGAAAGAGCCGCTCCTGGGATTGTGTCTCTCCCCACCTGTCTGGGCCCATGATCCCCGTGGCTGTATGAGGCCATGTATGACAGTCATGCCTCAGGGACTCTCCCAAGTTTCCCATGGTGTTCCATCAACCTTTAGTTCTACGTGTTTACTCATCCATTTTTTTTCCCCCCAACACCAAGGAAGAAATGAACAGCTTTGCTCTGCGAATATAATTTGCCATGGTTTATCAATGTCTTTCCCTCTCTTTGCAAATTCTCGTTGGAAGGAACAAGTGTATGAGATGTGGTTAAAAAAAAAAAGCCAAACACTGTAATAGTAAAGGAATTCAGTTCTTGGGAGCAAATAGAGCAAATAGTAGATGAGATGAATGATCTTTTTGTAGGCGTATTCCCAATTAATAAGTGAAAAATAAATGACTGAATTAGAATATTACTGTTTGGTAACACAATGGATGAATGGGTCAAGGCATTGAGCATATACAGCTGTGGGCATCACAAAAAGAGAGAAGTCAGACGGAAGGTGTCTTCTGAGGAAAGAACACGGCAGCACCTCTAGTTTTGCCAAAGGGATGAAACCTGATCCACCCTCTGGACCTGAATTCAGCTGCTGGTGTTCAGGAAATCAGGAGGAGCGGGGAGATGGGGACGTGTTAAACCTCACCAAGAGTGTGCAAGCAGCAAAATCTGGCACATTCTACAGGTCAAATCCTTGGGTTCTTCAATAGTTAAACGACAAGGAAAAATAAAAGGATAGATGGGGAACTCAGATACTATGAGACTTAAAAGACAAAACAAAAAAAATTTTTTTAATGGACAAACCTAAACTATAGTATCTAAGGGTGATGCACACTTAGTTAATAAAGCTATAAAGAAGGGCAAGGAAGTGACAACCCTGAAACTCAGTAGTTACTTTAGGGGGAAAGGGGAAGGTTGATATAAGGGTATATGAAG